GAATGATGAGTTTGCATGTGGTTATGTAATATCATTGTTCTAAAGTTACTTTTATAAATGATCCTTAATGGCGAGCTGTGTCTAATATTTGCTTGAATCCTTGTATTTGCAGATACATTCGGCTGCTACTATCTTGGACAAAAACAACTTGGTTAAGTATGACAGGAAAAGTGGATACTTCCAAGTTACAGATTTGGGACGCATTGCTAGCTACTATTACATAACCCATGGGACCATAGCTACATACAATGAGCATTTGAAGCCAACAATGGGTGATATAGATCTTTATCGTCTGTTCTCTCTGAGTGAAGAGTTCAAGTATGTGACGGTTCGGCAAGATGAGAAGATGGAACTGGCGAAACTTTTGGATCGTGTCCCAATTCCGATCAAGGAAACTTTGGAGGAGCCCAGTGCAAAAATAAATGTATTGCTGCAGGCATATATTTCACAGCTAAAGCTTGAGGGTCTTTCTTTGACATCTGACATGGTTTACATTACTCAGGTTTGTTCTACACTTTCTTCTCTCGTCCCTTCTAGTTACATTGATAAATTAGCTGTATCTATTTTCTGATACTTATATTTCGTTCCTTTCTATCATGTTTAGAGTGCTGGACGTCTTGTGCGAGCTCTTTATGAAATTGTATTGAAGCGGGGATGGGCTCAACTGGCAGAGAAGGCTCTGAACTTGTCAAAAATGGTTGGGAAGAGGATGTGGAGTGTTCAGACACCCCTGCGTCAGTTTCATGGAATCCCCAATGATATTTTAATGAAGTTGGAGAAGAAGGATTTGGTGTGGGAGAGGTACTATGATCTATCCTCACAGGAGCTAGGAGAGCTTATTCGTAGTCCTAAGATGGGCAGGCCGCTTCACAAGTTCATTCACCAGTTCCCAAAAGTGACTCTTTCTGCACATGTTCAGCCTATTACTCGCACTGTTCTGAAGGTGGAGCTCACAGTTACACCTGATTTCTTGTGGGACGAGAAAATTCATAAATATGTTGAGCCGTTTTGGATTATTGTGGAAGACAATGATGGTGAAAAGATCCTTCATCACGAGTATTTTCTATTGAAGAAGCAGTATATTGATGAGGATCACACTTTGAACTTCACTGTGCCAATCTTTGAACCGCTGCCACCTCAGTATTTTGTTCGAGTGGTTTCAGACAAGTGGCTTGGCTCGGAGACTGTGTTGCCTGTATCTTTCAGGCATCTTATTCTTCCAGAGAAGTATCCACCTCCGACAGAGCTACTGGACTTGCAGCCTCTCCCAGTGACGGCGCTAAGGAATCCGAATTATGAGATACTCTATCAGGATTTCAAGCATTTCAATCCAGTGCAGACTCAGGTCTTTACTGTTTTGTATAACACTAACGACAATGTGTTGGTTGCTGCTCCAACGGGAAGTGGGAAAACTATTTGTGCGGAGTTCGCTATTTTGAGGAATCATCAAGAAGGACCTGATGCTACAATGCGTGTTGTTTATATTGCACCGCTTGAGGCTATTGCCAAGGAGCAGTTTCGTATCTGGGAGGGGAAGTTTGGGAAGGGTCTTGGTTTACGGGTTGTTGAGCTAACTGGGGAGACAGCATTGGATCTTAAGCTGCTTGAGAAAGGCCAGATAATCATAAGTACTCCTGAGAAATGGGATGCTCTTTCCCGCAGGTGGAAACAGAGAAAATACGTTCAACAAGTTAGTCTTTTCATCGTCGACGAACTCCATCTAATTGGAGGTCAAGGTGGTCCAGTGTTGGAGGTAATCGTCTCCAGAATGAGATATATTTCAAGTCAGGTCAATAATAAGATCAGGATTGTTGCGCTATCCACTTCACTTGCAAATGCAAAAGATCTTGGGGAGTGGATTGGGGCCAGTTCCCACGGCCTTTTCAACTTCCCTCCCGGCGTCCGTCCTGTTCCACTGGAGATCCACATTCAGGGAGTGGATATATCCAGTTTTGAAGCCAGGATGCAGGCGATGACCAAGCCATCTTACACCGCCATAGTTCAGCACGCCAAGAACAAGAAGCCGGCTATTGTTTTCGTCCCAACCCGTAAACATGTCCGCTTGACTGCTGTGGATCTGATGGCTTATTCTCACATGGATAACCCGCAGAGTCCTGATTTCTTGTTAGGGAAACTGGAAGAACTGGACCCTTTTGTTGACCAAATCCGTGAGGAAACACTGAAGGAGACACTGCGTCATGGTATCGGGTACTTGCATGAGGGTTTAAGCAGTCTGGATCAGGAGATTGTGACACAGCTCTTTGAAGCTGGACGGATTCAGGCTTGTGTGATGAGCAGTTCATTGTGTTGGGGCACTCCATTAACTGCGCATTTGGTGGTCGTAATGGGGACACAGTATTACGATGGGAGGGAAAATTCACATTCTGATTATCCCGTCCCTGATCTGCTTCAGATGATGGGGCGCGCTAGCCGACCACTTCTTGACAATGCCGGGAAGTGTGTGATCTTTTGTCACGCACCGCGGAAAGAGTATTACAAGAAGTTTCTGTACGAAGCCTACCCTGTGGAAAGTCAGCTCCAGCATTTCTTGCATGATAATTTCAACGCAGAAGTGGTTGCTGGGGTTATAGAGAACAAGCAAGATGCTGTGGATTATCTTACATGGACTTTCATGTACAGGAGGCTTCCCCAGAATCCTAACTACTACAATCTCCAAGGTGTTAGCCACAGGCATTTGTCTGATCACCTTTCAGAGCTGGTTGAGAACACCTTGTCTAATCTTGAAGCCAGTAAATGCATTGAGATAGAGGATGAGATGGAACTCTCTCCTCTCAACCTTGGTATGATTGCATCCTATTACTACATCAGTTATACCACCATTGAGCGCTTCAGTTCACTGTTGTCTTCTAAAACCAAGATGAAGGGACTTCTTGAGATCTTAACATCAGCTTCGGAGTATGACATGATTCCTATACGGCCTGGCGAGGAGGACACTGTTCGAAGATTAATCAATCACCAGAGGTTCTCTTTTGAAAACCCAAAATGCACAGACCCTCATGTGAAGGCAAACGCGCTTCTTCAGGCGCATTTCTCAAGGCAAAACATTGGCGGGAACTTGGCAATGGATCAGCGTGATGTCCTTCTATCTGCAACCAGACTTCTTCAAGCGATGGTCGATGTGATATCAAGCAATGGCTGGCTAAATCTTGCTCTGTTAGCTATGGAAGTAAGCCAGATGGTGACTCAAGGCATGTGGGAGCGGGACTCCATGCTTCTGCAGCTCCCTCACTTCACAAAGGACTTGGCCAAGAGGTGCCAAGAGAATCCGGGGAAAAACATTGAAACCGTATTCGATCTTGTGGAGATGGAGGACGAAGAACGCCAAGAGCTTCTCAAGATGTCAGACGCTCAGCTTCTAGACATTGCCAGATTCTGCAACCGCTTCCCGAACATCGACCTTACTTACGAGATTGTGGGCAGTGAAGAGGTGAACCCAGGGAAAGAGGTTACATTGCAAGTGATGCTTGAGAGAGATATGGAGGGGAGGACAGAAGTGGGACCTGTGGATTCACTGAGGTATCCCAAGACCAAAGAAGAAGGATGGTGGCTGGTCGTGGGCGACACCAAGACGAACCAGTTGCTGGCAATCAAGCGTGTCTCATTGCAACGGAAAGCGAAGGTGAAGCTGGATTTCACAGTACCGAGTGAACCAGGAGAGAAGTCATACACACTATACTTCATGTGTGACTCTTACTTGGGGTGTGACCAAGAGTACTCTTTCTCTGTTGATGTCAAAGGATCTGGCGCTGGAGATCACATGGAAGAATGATTTGTTGTTCAGGTTAGTTCCACAGTTTTCTGGTCATAATTTTCGGTTTAAGAATTCTGTAAATGGTTGTAGTTTTTGTGTTACGAAGTTGGCTTAACTAGATTCTGCTTTGTGCATTGACCAACTCGCTTTCATCTATCGTGTGAATAATTTGTTCATCAAGCTGCTGCGTGTTATTTTTTCTGCTTCTTCTGTTTTCTTTTTGCATGAGGTTTGTTCTTGACCATGGATTTACTTAGAAAAGTATTAGAATACAGGAATGTTCATGCAAGTAGGACTGCATATTGTGCATGGTATATACCTAGTATTGTGAAATAATTGGTCAAGTTAGTGAACAATGTTGATCAGCAAATTGCTAGAAATCTGTATAATTGGATGGTGATTTGATTTGTGCATCACTGCTATATGAAAACTGCTTTCTGAATCATGTCTCATAAATCTCGCATGCTGTTTCTGTAGAATAACTGATTATAGATTTTGTATTTTGAAATCCAGAAAATGACACATAATTTCTGTTCTTTGCAGGCGTATGTATGCTGATTCTGGAGAGTGGGTAAACTTGTCTTCCAAATAGCCTCCGTACTGTGTGGGTCTCTGCAATGTCAACTTTCTGAGAATAGATATTAAGGTGTAATCGTTGTTTTCTGGTCTTTTACTATTCCTCTGTTTGAGCTCTAGGGAATACTAAAACAAAAACCATTGAGATTACTCATTTTTATGTCATGCATCAAACTCAAGAGAGGAGCCAATGTCAAAACTACAATTTGAGTTTACGACTTTGAAAGCTGAGATTACTTACAAGAATTTTAAATGCAGCAGTGTTCATTTTGTAACATTTGAGTTTTGAGACTCCGAGTAACCGATAGTTTTTTCCTTAACTTGCATAATAAGCAAGTAAAAGTCGTGATCAATAGAGAAACTTGCAAAATCACAACCAAAATATTTGTTCAAATCTGTGTTCATAGAAAGTCATATAACTTTCAAACCAGTAGGTAATGTTGGTGATTTTAAGGTCTATTATTTAGAGAGACCCAGTGGGTGTTTCGTAAATAGTCGAGATAAAGAGGGTCAAATGAGAGAAGGAATCTGGAAAAAAAAAAGACGAGACGAGAGAGCAAGAAAGAAGCGGATGTGTTTGGTTGGTGGTATATTCCTCCTCCTCTTTCTTCTTCTCCCTCCTCACTATATATTTTGAACAGGCACAAAAAAAAAGTCACACTCAAAGTCTCACACACACCAACCACTTCTTCTTCTTCTACATAAAACCTAACGCCATGGATTCAGATTTTGGAATCCCCAGAGAACTCTCCCCTCTTCAGCAACTTCGATCTCAGTACCACCCTGAGCTTCCTCCTTGTCTCCAGGTCCCTTCTTCTACTTCATAGATCTACTTTCTTCCTTCCTTCCATGGTTCCAATCATTGGACTTCGTTTTCTTATTTGATATTATTATTATTGGATTTCTGCAACTATTCCAAGTTTTTGTTAATCTTAATTCGAGGAACTTGCAATGTTAGTGCTGCTTAAGCAGATCTGATTTCTAGATTGTAATGTCCTCGGATCTGTTTCATTCACAGTCTTTGATTTCTTCATCTTTACTCAGTTTTCAGAGTCTGTTTATAATCAGTTGAGATATTTTGCCATTTTCTTATTCTGCTTGATATTCGTTTCAGGGGACTACTGTCCGCGTTGAGCTTGGTGATGGAACCACTGTGGCTGAGGCTGCTGATTCACACACCATGGCTCGCGCTTTCCCGCATACCTTAGGCCAGCCTTTGGCTCACTTCCTCAGAGAAACTGCTCAAGTTGCTGATGCACACATCATTTCTGAGCTTCCATCAGTTAGGTGTGTGAATCTGTTTGCTCTCTATCTATATGTTTCTGGATTGGCTTTTATGTTTGATTCAAGTTCTGTTCAGCTTAAGTTAGTTCTTTTTCTACTGTAGAGTTGGAATTGTGTTTTGTGGAAGGCAAGCTCCAGGTGGACATAATGTGATCTGGGGTCTTTTCGAAGCTCTCAAGGTGCACAACGCAAAAAGCACTTTGCTAGGCTTTTTGGGTAAGTTCTCTTATTTGTGATACTGCATCATTTGCTATTTTTAGGTAGAGATTTTTTTTTTTTTTTTTTTGTATTACAATTCATCATTTATTTCTTCTCACAATAGAAAATTTGTAACCTGATAATAGGTGGTTCCGAAGGACTATTTGCACAAAAGACTCTGGAGATTACAGATGATGTACTTCAGACTTACAAAAACCAAGGTAGTTGTTTGATGAAATCATTGTCGTAAAATGCAGAATCTCGTACATTGCTTCAAATTCTGATATATCGGTGTTGAAATGTATGTTGTAAGGTGGTTATGATTTGCTCGGAAGAACTAAGGATCAGATCAAAACAACTGAGCAGGTTAACGCTGCACTCAAAGCTTGCACAGATTTGAAGTTAGATGGCCTTGTTATTATTGGAGGTACCTAGCATTTTATTTATATCATTAGTGAAGTTTTCTCATAAATTTTTTTACGAAACCAGGAATTTATATTGTGCTTTTTGAAGGTGTAATATCAAACACAGATGCAGCTCATCTCGCTGAATTTTTTGCTGCAGCAAAATGCCCAACTAAGGTCCTAATTTCTTTTCCTATGGTTTCATTTTAAATCCCTTTATAAAATGCGCCGGTAATTAAGTTGCACATAACAACGGAAAAAACCTATTTGATACTTACCTATGGAATTACAGGTGGTTGGTGTTCCAGTTACTACGAATGGAGATCTCAAAAATCAGTTTGTTGAGGCAAATGTCGGTTTTGACACCATATGCAAGGTAAATGTAAACTTTAACCCTCTGGTTACTTTTGTCTTAGTTATGTTTTGTAGCTATCGCAGCCAACATGATGCTGTTGCCCCTCTTAAGTCTTTACAGAAACTATATGTTATTGTTGGCTAATGATATTTTGCGTCATACAGGTGAATTCACAGCTCATTAGCAATGCCTGCACTGATGCCCTTTCTGCAGAGAAGGTAAATGCTATTTCTTGCAGAACTTTCTTGTTGCAAGAGATTGCTATGGCATTCTTAACCATGGAATTGTTTAGTCTATTAACTTCATATTCTGATAAGAAGAAATATTTCGATGAAGGATGTGGATTCTATTACAATGTGAACACTGCAAAGTTGTATTCTTTATGATTCTGATATCAAGTTTTACTTCTTTTTTTCCTTTATTGGCAGTATTATTATTTCATCCGTCTCATGGGTCGGAAGCACTCTCATGTTGCCCTTGAGTGTACACTCCAGTCTCATCCAAACATGGTTGGTATTGTTTCAGTTTCTAACATAGACAATTCTTATGTTGGCATATTCTTGTCTCTAGACTCTCATTTGTGTGTGATGCGATTGTCTCAGGTGATACTGGGAGAGGAGGTTGCAGCATCTAAGCTCACGATTTTTGACATTGCAAAACAGATCTGTGATGCTGTTCAAGCAAGAGCAGTAGAAGGTCTCATAATGAAAACCATCTAAGAAAGATTATGCAATCATGCTATGTTCACTAAATCTGGTACTATTCCATTTGTTTGATCCAGACAAGAATCATGGAGTCATCCTCATTCCTGAAGGGCTTATAGTGAGTATTCCTGAAGTCTACGCTCTGTTAAAGGTAATGATTTGATACTTGTAGACATCTGTATTTGGCATTTGATACTTGTACTCTTTCTTGAATACTGAGATATACTTCTTAGTATATATTATGTCTAAGCTGACATTTTTTGATGTAGGAAATTCACGGGCTGCTGAGGCAGGGTGTAGCTGCTGATAAGATTTCTACTCAGCTCTCACCTTGGTCATCTGCTTTGTTTGAATTTCTTCCTCCATTCATTAAGAAACAGGTTCAAATTCTTTGAAATTTGACTTATCTTTGTTTTCCTTTTAAAGCAAATGTGTATGAATGCTTACAAGATGGTCACCTTTGTTGTTACAGCTACTACTCCATCCTGAGTCTGATGATTCTGCTCAGCTATCCCAGGTAAGAAGAAGCAACAAAATATGTTGGAGCTACTATGTTATAAAAAAAGTTGGAATCCTAAATGCTCGTTTTGCTTTCTACTCTAGATTGAGACGGAGAAACTTCTTGCGTATCTCGTGGAGACTGAAATGAACAAGCGCTTGGTATGCTCCATTTTTCTCACTGATTTCTATTTTGTCCCAATTCTGTTATCTAAATATTGGAGTCATTATTGGCATCAAGAAACATTATTGTTAATGTAATTAAATCTTTGAACTTGACAGAAAGAAGGCACATACAAGGGTAAGAAATTCATTGCCATATGTCACTTTTTTGGTTACCAAGCTCGTGGATCTCTTCCATCAAAATTCGATTGTGATTACGCCTACGTAAGTCACTAACACGCTGCACCACAGTACCAATGCAACTTCATAATTTGGATGAAAATTCACACTATTGAATCAATGGGAGAATCATGCAGGTTCTTGGACATATATGTTATCACGCCCTCGCAGCTGGTCTGAATGGTTACATGGCAACTGTAACCAACCTAAAAAGTCCTGTAAACAAGTGGAAATGTGGTGCTGCACCTATTACAGCTGAGTTTTATCTTCTTTTCTACCTAAAAGATGGCAGTCAATACAGTTTATTTCTGTACTAATTCCCTCATTCTTTTATCTCTGGTATAACCTTTAGGCGATGATGTCGGTGAAGCATTGGTCCCAGGATGCTAGTTATACTTTAACTTCAATTGGTAGACCTGCAATTCATCCAGCTATGGTGGATTTGAAAGGCAAAGCATACGAGTAAGACAGCTATTACAGAGAACATGAACACACTAATTCAAAAAGTTGCCTTTAAGTTTCTCAATTGTTTGAATGTTAATGGTTTTCTTGCAGCCTTTTGAGACAGAATTCACAAAAATTCTTGATGGAAGATCTGTACAGAAACCCAGGACCGCTTCAGTACGATGGTCCTGGTGCGGATGCTAAAGCAGTGAGTCTCTGTGTTGAAGATCAAGATTACATGGGACGTATCAAGAAGCTGCAGGAATATCTAGACCAGGTAAAATCTTTTTCTTGTGTGTTTTCTTTTGTTATTTTCAAAAGTATCGAATAATGTTCTTTGCCATATTCATATTTAAAAACATTTTTGGGTTGGTCAGGTGAGGAAGATAGTGAAACCAGGATGTTCTCAAGACGTATTGAAGGCAGCACTGAGTGTGATGGCTTCGGTGACTGATGTTCTCACTACTATTTCTTCTACTGGTGGTCAATGATGTGCTTAAAAGATAGAGAGTCAAAACTCTTATAATCAATTCTCTCATGAGCTTTGCATAAGCTCTTTTTAATCACACACGTCGTGTTTGTTGTTCTCTTCTTTTTGTCTTCTTTCTTTTGAGATGCAACTTTTGTTGTTGTTTTTGCAGCTGTTGAGTTTGGAAAGATTTGAAAAGGTTTGGATTATAGAGGCGCGATTTCACCATATCAATCAAGCCTTGTCCAGCTTTTATTTTTCACTATTCTTACAAACTTTTTAAAAACATGATGATTTGGCATGCATGCATATAGCAATAGCATCGCTTGAAAACCAAATGATGTAAAATAATACCTAATACTTTTTAGTTGGAATAAATATGCTTCATTTAAATATTGTTGGTCTAAAAATACATCATTTTAGAATTATTGGTAGATTCAAATCTATGACTTAACAGTCATTAATGGGAGTAACAGAATCATTTAAAATTTTACCTACACATTATAATAGATATATACAATACGTTTACAAACTTTACGAGTATGTTAACGTAGTCTTGTTGTTATATGTTGGTTTTGAGATCATTACAACATGGCGTTCGAATCTCCCACGAACGCTTTTTTTTTTCCCCTTCTCTCCTTCTCCTTCTCTTCCTCCTCACCTGTAATTTCTCAAAATCCAGCGAATCACCTGTAAATACATTAGCATTATAACTATCTTAGGTATAAGATTTGGAATAAATACATTGTTATTTATTTAAAAACTATCTTTAGCCTAAATACATTGTTAGTTATTTTTTAAAAAACTAAAAAGATATTATTAAATGAAGAAACTATTTTAGATAGTAAACAATATTTCTCAATAAAAGATATTAGATTTTTGCCAATTTTTTTGAGATAAATAACTTTTTTTTTGTTCAACTATTGAAATTAATACTTACAAATTATTTTGCAAAATGACAAACCTATAAATATATATAATATTTGATTTTAATGATTTCATCAAAGATTTGCCCCAAAAAAATAAAAAATTGATTTCATCAAAGGCTACACAGAAATTCTAATTATCTTGCTAAATCAATGAAAATTTAATAAATATTATTATACTAAAATTGTAGTTTATTTTTTCTTAAAATGGGGAGATACTGAGATTATCCTTGATTAGAAATTATTGTTACTTCTTTTTTGGTAATAATATGTTGTCTAGATCTATATAACAATCTCATCAGTAAATCATTGAAATAACAAAAAAATAATCGCATAAACAAGCAAAATAGAACCCATCTTCACTTTGATTCAAAAAACAAAAGCATGGAAAATTCTCACTTTGATTCATCTTCCATCATGAATGATTTACCTTTGCATCTTCTCGACGAGATTCTCTTCAAATTAGAACCCAAATCTATGGCGATGATGCGATGTACGAACAAATCTTTCAAATCGTATTTAACTGACCCAAGATTTGGACCTCAATACCCTTCATGGGTCAGATCTAGTTTGTTTAACGTTAGTAGCTATGGCGGAGGTTATGTATGCTGCCAACCTTTGGTCTCTTCATGCGATTATATGTCACCGGGAAATGGAGCAGAGCTGATTAGTGAGCTATGTTACTTTTTCGGTTCATGCTCCGGTCTTCTCCTATTGTACATCGGTTGCCTCTTTGTCGCAAATCCCTTAACAAAAAGGTTTCGAATCTTGGATCACTCTGGATCAAAGCTTATACCTAAGATAGTTGGTGGTGAGATTAAAAGTTTTAACGATGCTAATATTCCTGGAAGTAATGTTTATTGTACGGAAAGAGCGATGTGTGTTGGATTTGCGGTAAATCGAAATCGAACCACCAAGAGATTCAAGATCGTCTGCATACTCGAGATGGAAACGGTATACGGATTCGAGATCAGCGATGGAGATTCTTGGAGATTGTCGGAAACGACAATCACCACTAGCTCAAAAAGTGATCTCACAACGCGAATGAAACCTGCTTACTTGGACAACACTCTTCACTGGTTGAGAAACGATGGGAGCATTATATCTTTTAATCCCGAGACAGAGCAAGCATGTTTGATTTCTTCCATATTTCATCGGGAACCGGATACGAAACTACTTTTCGCGGAAAGCATTAAAATCAATCGTCTGACCTTAATTTCGGGGACGATAGAAACAATCTCCGTTTACACACTTGTCGGGAATCACAAATGGGCACTCACAAGGCGGATCAAGAACATATCTATCGAGGAAAACACGCTTGAATGTTGGAACATAGTTGCGTACGATGGCAAGTGTCTTGTGGTGAGGGTGAAAAAGAGGGGATTAGAATCTTTTGAAGGTGTGATTCATGTGTACGACATGGAAGCTAACAGTTGGGGAGTTTTGGGGTCAACCACTATTTGGGCCTCTTGCGTCCGAGATTTTTATAAATTTACGCCCTCCTTGTTCTCTGTAGAGGAGGATGAGCAACAGAAGGTGCTTGTTGCTTCTAATGACCAACGCATCTCCTATCTAATTGCCATTATGGGACTCATTGATACCACCAAGTAAACAATCTTCTCATGCTTTAGTTATTTGGTGTCTATAGATTATACAAAAAAAATATCCTGATTTATAGGAGTGTTTGTTTGCCATTTGCTTTTCTGATTGCACTATCATGGTTTATATATTTCAAGTCTAAAATTAGTTGTATTTTACTATTTTCTTTTGAGACAAAAAAATCAGTTGTATAAGACAATGTTGTTTAAGCCCAAGCGTAATGTCTTTAATTATGGTCAATGAAGAAGAAATTGTCCCAAGAAACCCATTTTAAGAACAAAGGAAAAATGGTCGGTTGGGTCATCGTGAGAATGATCAAGTTTTGCTATATGCATATTATACAGATCACTAAAGCTAGGTCATGAGAAATGGGAAGATTTGAGGCTTATTCAACTTGTGTCCCAAGAAACCAATTTTAAGAACAAATTAAGGAAAAATGCATGTGTTATATACCACCGTTGTGACACTCTGATCTTATTATATGATGTTACCGTATAAAAATTACTATGCCTTATACTATTATTTTTGTCCACTTTTAGCAAAAGCCATTAAAACTCTCTAATTATTGTTTTGAGTAAAATTAATATAGAACCTCTCGTTTATTGTAAAAGAATCATAACCCAAATAAAAGGCCTAACTAAGTAACACTAAAAAACAAGAGTAAATAGGGAATTGTGGTTAACGGTAAAAAAAGAAAAAAAGAAAAGGAAGCATAGTCCAAATAAGGCACTAATAAGACGATCACCACTAAGAAAAAAACGAGCATGACTAAAACCGATATGAACATATATCAAAGTCTCTAGCTGTCACCTCATCATCTCCTTTGTGTTTTCTCAAGTAACGTCTTCATTTCAATTTTACTCAGATTAGTAAAAGGGCATTCATATGTGGACCTCATCATCTCCAACGTGTTTTCTTTAACGTCTTCATTTCAATTTTACTCAGATTAGTAAAAGTATTTTCTAAACGGTTCCACATAGACACGAGTTCTCCTCACTCAATCCAAAAAAAAAAAAATATACATAGAGCAAAAGTGGAACAATTGGAGAAGTGTTGAAACAATGTGTCTTCCATTTTACTTAGTATAGCAAGTTTATGCTACTAGAAGCCACTATTTTCAACGTTTTTACATACATGAATCTGTAAAAGTAAAATAGCAACACATATTCTGGTGGATTGGTGGTTAGTGAATGGAAGAGAGAGTATGTATGATGGTGACAGAAAACAGCAAAAGCTAAACCCAAAAATGGATAAAGAAGCTCTTAAGCGTGTTGGGATACTTACATTGGAAGAACTTGACAAGTTAGAGAAAAAACAGCGCAGAGTGGATCATCTCTCGGCTATAAATACCGAGTAGGGGTCACAACACAGAATCACAACAAAAAAAACAAACACAGAGCAAGAGATTCAAATAGCAAAAAAAAAGTTATAATACTCTTTCAAAAAATGGGGACCGTAGCATTCCAATGGGAAGATAGCAAACTGACGTTGCTGATGAACAGAAACAACTACGAAGGACAGTAAGTTAATTTCTTACAAAGCTTTTATTTATTTATGTAATTTATGTATATGATGCATTCTTGATGATTCTTCTGTTTATATGATATAGGGTCACAAAGAAAGCAACTTGGGATGAAAGTAACACTATACTGGGAAGTTGGTTTGACAAGAGTTTAACTGGAACTTGGTTTGGTGTCTCAAAATCCAGACGAATCGCATTCATGGTTGAACCCTTAACGCAACAGAATGGTGGTGACGATGAACTGCTCGAGTATATAACACGATTTTTGAAGGTAATCGATCGTAATGTGATTATAATATGTACTTTTATAATTAGATCTCATTGAAATTTAAAACCGTCGTCTTATTGATTATTCAGGGAGCAATCGATCTACATCAATTCTCATCAAACGTGGTCGATATATGTAAGAACAGGGAGTCAACTAACGCAGTTGTGGTCGACTTAGGTTTAAAATGGATGGTTTATTTCCAAAAGGAGGCTTCTTCAGTTCCGGTATCTGTAAAAGACGTTGGTCATGGTGTTCATACCTTATCTGACACCGGACTCGATTCCGAATCTCCTAAGGATGTACGTCTGAGAGACAGGTATCATGACGTGATTGCTGAAAATGAACCGCCGATTAACGTTCTTGTTCAGGAGATCATGACTGATCTAGTCGAAACAGAACAGGGAGACAAGGAAAGCTCCGTTTTTATCGACCTGACGTCGACCACACGCTTCCAAATGGACTCGTGTACAGAAGTAAGCCATTTTAAGCTCTCTTCAATTCATGTTTTTTGGCCTCTTGATCTCATTCACTTTTCTGATATCTTTTTGTTTGTACGTAAAAAAGTTGGAACGCTATGGAACAACTAGTTCAACAGCACTGGAAGTGCAACAAAGTGGAGGCCAGTTCTATCAGAAGTTCTTGGTTAATGGACAATGGAAGGAGGACGGCTTTCCTTTCTCCATGGGAGAATGATATATCAATTTTATATATAATCTATAAATAATCTTGTTGAAGCTGATAAGCTGTTATATGATCTCAATCTTGTCGGTTCAGGGAAACTTATTTCCTTGGTCGATAATATACTATATCTAGTCTTAATGCATGGTTATATAAAAACATATATAATTGGTTTTCTTAGCCTCTCCTTTTACTTGAATATTACTTTGTATGTTCCATTGATGGATTAATAAACTTTAGTCATAACAACTATTACAAGAAAGCCATGACATGAGGATCATTGTTTCTTTTGAAAGTCTTAACGGCTGATAACTAATTTCCAAAATGATTACTTTTTAAATGTATCAGAATTAATATCACGTGAATCATCCGAGTTACAAAGAAAAAAAAAAAAAAAATCGGAGTCTTAATATGTGACTAGAAAACCAGAAGTTGTAAACCTTTTTCAATAACCTTTTCATAATTTTGGAGTAAGAAAAGATAAAAGTAGTTGTATACATGCGTGTCAGTTTCATTGAGTATACTAGATTGATATAGTTTTATCATTAGCATTATATCATTTTTATTAAAAATAAATTAGTGGAGAAAATTTCAAGTAATGCAATGGTTTGATTTGCACAAAAATAAAATAAAAAAAGCATGAAATGGTTTGCATGTGTATACCAAATTGGAAACAATCCGTTCGAAAAAAAACATAGATTCCACATGTACATGACTCCATCATTACTCAAACAAGGAAGAGTTCTAGTATCTATCGTGATTATCTACGCAACTCATTAATATTGGATAGATTCAGTTATCAATAGGATTTCAAATAAATTTGTACTTTGTAGTATCAAATCTCCAAAGGGACCATCAACATTTTTACTTTAAACAATAAAAATTCATAACGATATAATTTTCATATGTTAAAATTAAGTCACTCAATTTGTGCTACTAGAAGATATTTTATTCGTTTTACATATATCTGTAAAAGTAAAATTCATGCATATATAGAGACGGCTCCTGGTGGTTACTGAATAGAGGAAAGAGAATGATGGTGACAGAAAACAGCAAAAGCTATACCCAAAAAGAAATTAAAAAAGAAAACAAAATTGGTAAACTGATCGGTTTATAGGCTGAAACCGAAGCCAAAACCGATAGACCAAAATTCCGGTGGGGTAATTTTGGTCGGTTGGGTCCAGTTTGGTTTGATGAGAGTGATCAAGTTTTGCTATATACATATTATGCAAATCACTTAAGCTAAGTCATGGAAAGATTTGAGGCTTATTCAACTTGTGTCACAAGAAACCCATTTTAAGAACAAAAGAAAATGCATGTGTTATATACCGCTGTGACACTCTGATCTTATTATATGATGTTACCGAATAAAAATGACTATGCCTTATATTATTTTTGTCCACTTTTAACAAAAGCCATTAAAACTCCCTAATTATTGTTTTGAGTAAAATTAATAGAACCTCTCGTTTATCGTAAAAGAATCAATCATAACCCAAATAAAAGGCTCAACGAATTAAGTGACACTAAAGAACAAGAGTAAATATGGAATCGTGGGGGAAAAAATCTCTGAGTAAATATCTAATTATTTTTTGAGTAAAAATCTTGTTAACCAAATAAGGCACCAACTACGCAACATTACACGATCATCACTTTTACTCCGATTAGTAAAAGTATTTTCTAAATGGTTCCACATATAAATTAACATGACTCGTCGATCACTTAATCAGCAAAAAGCTAGAGCAAAAGTGGAACAGTCAAGAAAATGTTGAAACTCCTAGTTCTCTTAATGACCTATCTAATTGGGATTATGGGACTCATTGATACGACCAAATAAACAATCTCATGTCCTTATTTATAGGAGTGTTTGTTTCCCATTAGCTTTTTCCATGGTTTATGTATTTCAAGTCTACTATTTTCTTTGTAACACAAATATATAGGTGATATCGAATGGGCCATAAAACTCTTCCCAGAACTTGTTCTTCTTTCCCTTGTCAATTTTCGTCTGGCCCAATAAAGGCCCATATTGTGTGTTTTGTCGAATCCAACAACAGACTCCACCTTTTGACAAACACACACATCTCCTCTGGTGATCTACTCCGACGATCTACCTCTCCGGTCATCATCTCCTTCTACTCCTCCGAGCTTTATCTCGTTCCCAACATCGAGAGAAGATGCTTCGACCACTGCCGCGTGTTCTCCGACGGCTACCTCCGGCGAAAGCAATCACAACCTTCACCGGTTTCTCGACGGCTCCAACGTTTGGCGAATTAAATACATACTCTTCTCCTCTTTGTATTTGTCTTCGCCTCTTCTCTGGACTGTCCATCTTCTCCGATGAATCGGACCGCCGCCGTCACCGTACATCTCAGGTACCCATCTAAGATCTCCCTTTCTCGATGTATTGATGGTTGGAGATTCGAACTTCTGAGATGATGAGGCGATTCGAAAATTCAACTTCAGTTTCGAAATTGTTTCAGGTGAAGAGCTCCGAAGCTTCTCTACTTCTCCGGTGAGACCGACCACCGCCTCCTCCGATACTCCGATACCTTTCAACACGATTTTAGAAGTCTTCAAGAGAAATTACGGTCTTGAATCACCTCCTCTTGGCCATTTACTCCAATCTCAAGCCATGTGATTCTCTGTGAAACTTTTCTTCAGATACTCCACCTACAGGTAATACCAACTTCAATTAAATACCTTACTCAATCCTGACACTTGAGTACTTCTCACAAACCTAACTCATATTGATTATCTTGTTTTGCGAGATTATTGGAGTTATCTGGAGCCACTGCTCCACTTCGGTGGATCTGTGGATGTTAAGAAGCTCACAACAATGCTGGAACTTCATACCAGGTACTATTAGTACTGAGGTACCCTATCAGGATTTCAAGCATTTCAATCCGGTGCTGACTCAGGTCTTTACTGTTTTGTATAACACTAACGACAATGTGTTGGTTGCTGCTCCAACGGGAAGTCGGAAAACTATTTGTGCGGAGTTTGCTATTTTAAGGAATCATCAATAAGGACCTGATGCTACAATGCCTGTTGTTTATATTGCACCGCTTGAGGGCCTTGGTTTGGGAAGGGTCTTGGTTTATTGGTTGTTGAGCTAACTGGGGAGACAGCAATGGATCTTAAAGCTGCTTGAGAAAGGTCAGATAATCATAAGTACTCCTGAGAAATGCATTGAGATAGAGGATGAGATGGAACTCTCTCCTCTCAACCTTGGTATGATTGCATCCTATTACTACATCAGTTATACCACCATTGAGCGCTTCAGTTCACTGTTGTCTTCTAAAACCAAAACTTCTTGAGATCTTAACATCAGCTTCCGAGTATGACATGATTCCTATACGGCCTGGCGAGGAGGACACTGTTCGAAGATTAATCAATCACCAGAGGTTCTCTTTTGAAAACCCAAAATGCACAGACCCTCATGTGAAGGCAAACGCGCTTCTTCAGGCGCATTTCTCAAGGCAAAACGTTGGCGGGAACTTGGCAATGGATTAGCCTGATGTCCTTCTATCTGCAACCAGACTTCTTCAAGCGATGGTCGATGTGATATAAAGCAATGGCTGGCTGAATCTTGCTCTGCTAGCTATGGAAGTAAGCCAGATGGTGACTCAAGGCATGTGGGAGCGGGACTCCATGCTTCTGCAGCTCCCTCACTTCACAAAGGACTTGGCCAAGAGGTGCCAAGAGAATCCGGGGAAAAATAGTGAAACTGTATTTGATCTTGTGGAGATGGAGGACGAAGAGCGCCAAGAGCTTCTCAAGATGTCAGACGCTCAGCTTCTAGACATTGCCAGATTCTGCAACCGAATTCCCAAACATCGACCTTACTTACGAGATTGTGGGCAGTGAAGAGGTGAACCCAGGGAAAGAGGTTACATTGCAAGTGATGCTTGAGAGAGACATGGAGGGGAGGACAGAAGTGGGACCTGTGGATTCACTCAGGTATCCCAAGACCAAAGAAGAAGGATGGCGGCTGGTCGTGGGCGATACCAAGACGAACCAGTTGCTAGCAATCAAGCGTGTCTCATTGCAACGGAAAGCGAAGGTGAAGCTGGATTTCACAGTACCGAGTGAACCAGGAGAGAAGTCATACACACTATACTTCATGTGTGACTCCTACTTGGGGTGTGACCAAGAGTACTCTTTCTCGGTTGATGTCAAAGGATCTGGCGCTGGAGATCACATGGAAGAATGATTTGTTATTCAGGTTAGTTCCACAGTTTTCTGGTCATAATTTTCGGTTTAAGATTCTGTACATGGTTGTAGTTTTTGTGTTACGAACTTTGCTTTACTAGAATCTGCTTTGTGCATTGACCAACTCGCTTTCATATATCGTGTGAGTAATTTGTTCATCAATCTGCTGAGTGTTATTTTTCTGCTTCCTCTGTTTTCTACTTTTCTTTTTGCATCACTGCTATATGAAAACTGCTTTGTGAATCATGTCTCATAAATCTCACATGCTGTTCCTTGAGAATAATTGATTATAGATTCTGTATTTTGAAATCCAGAAAATGACACGTAATTTCTGTTCTTTGCTGGCATATACTGTAGTTGTTAACTTGTTATGACTAAAGTTTATTAATCCATCAATGGAACATATAAACTATAAAGTAAAATTCAAGTAAAAGGAGAGGCTAAGAAAACCAATTATATATGTTTTTATTTAACCATGCATTAAGACTAGATATAGTATATTATCGACAAAGGAAATAAGTTTCCCTGAACCGACAAGATTATTGAGATCATATAACAGCTTATATCAGCTTCAACAAGATTATTTATAGATTATATATAAAATCGATATATCATTCTTCCATGGAGAAAGTAAAGCCGTCCTCCTCACAGTCTCCATTAGACATGAACAGCTTCTGATAGAACTTGCCCCCAACTAGTTGAACTTCCAGTGCTGTTGAACTAGTTGTTCTATAGCGTTCCAACTTGTATACGTAAGAACAAAAAAAATATCAGAAATGTAAAAGAGATCAAGAGGCTAAAAAGATGAATGGAAGAGATCAAGAGGCTTACATCTATCTGAGTGTCCAAGTGGAATTGGATGGCCGACTTCACGTCGACAAAAACGGAGCTATGCTCGTTTCCCTGTTCTGCTTGGACTAGATCAGTCATGAGCTCCTGAACAAGAACGTCAATCATTGGCGGTTCATTTCCAGCAATAATCACGTCATGATACCTTTCTCTCAGACGTACATCCTTAGGAGATTCGGAATCGAGTCCGGTGTCAGATAAGGTATGAACACCATGACCAACCTTTTTTACATATATCGGAACTGAAGAAGCCTTCTTTTGGAGATAAACCATTGATTTTAAATCTAAGTCGACCACAACTACGTTAGTTGACTGTCTGTTCTTACATCTCTCAGCCACTCTATCTGAGAATTGATTTATAGCGATTGCTCCCTGTATATCAACAAGACGACGTTTTTTTTATTGCAAACCGGTGAGATCTAATTATAGTAGTAAATATTATATAAAGACATTACAGTTACCTTCAAAAATCGAATAATATACTCAAACAACTCATCATTACCACCATGTTCTCGCAATGGTTCAACCATGAATGCGATTCGTCTGGCTTTTGAGACACCAAACCATGTTCCTCTTAATCTCTTGTCAAACCAACTTCCCAGTAGAGTGTTACTTTCATCCCAAGCTGCTTTCTTTGTGACCCTATATCATATAAACACAAGAATCATCAAGAATGCATCATATACATAAATTACATAAATAAAGAAAAGCTTTGTAAGAAATTAACTTACTGTCCTTCGTTGTTGTTTCTGTTCATCAGCAGCGTCAGTTTGCTATCTTCCCATTGGAATGCTACGGTCCCCATTTTTTGAAAGAGTATTATAACCTTTTTTTTTGCTATTTAAATCTCTTGCTCTGTGTTTGTTTTTTTTTTGTTGTGATTCTGTGTTGTGACCCCTACTCGGTATTTATAGCCGAGAGATGATTCAATGTGCTCTGCTTTTTCCTTAACTTGTCAACTTCTTCCAATGTAAGTATCCCAACACGCTTAAGAGCTTCTTTATCCATTTTTGGGTTTAGCTTTTGCTGTTTTCTGTCACCATCATACATACTCTCTCCTCCATTCACTAACCACTAGGAACCGTGTATATGTGATGCAATTCACTTTTAGAGATTCATGTAGTAAAACGTTGAAAATAGTGGCTTCTAGTAGCATAAACTTGCTATACTAAGTAAAATGGAAGACACATTGTTTCAACACTTCTCCAATTGTTCCACTTTTGCTCTATGTATAGTTTTTTTTTTTGGATTGAGTGAGGAGAACTCATGTCTATGTCAAACCGTTTAGAAAATACTTTTACTAATCTGAGTAAAATTGAAATGAAGACGTTAAAGAAAACACGTTGGAGATGATGAGGTCCACATATGAATGCCACAGCCCATTTATAAAATACTTTTACTAATCTGAGTAAAATTGAAATGAAGACGTTACTTGAGAAAACACAAAGGAGATGATGAGGTGACAGCTAGAGACTTTGATATATGTTCATATCGGTTTTAGTCATGCTCGTTTTTTTCTTAGTGGTGATCGTCTTATTAGTGCCTTATTTGGACTATGCTTCCTTTTCTTTTTTTCTTTTTTTACCGTTAACCACAATTCCCTATTTACTCTTGTTTTTTAGTGTTACTTAGTTAGGCCTTTTATTTGGGTTATGATTCTTTTACAATAAACGAGAGGTTCTATATTAATTTTACTCAAAACAATAATTAGAGAGTTTTAATGGCTTTTGCTAAAAGTGGACAAAAATAATAGTATAAGGCATAGTAATTTTTATACGGTAACATCATATAATAAGATCAGAGTGTCACAACGGTGGTATATAACACATGCATTTTTCCTTAATTTGTTCTTAAAATTGGTTTCTTGGGACACAAGTTGAATAAGCCTCAAATCTTCCCATTTCTCATGACCTAGCTTTAGTGATCTGTATAATATGCATATAGCAAAACTTGATCATTCTCACGATGACCCAACCGACCATTTTTCCTTTGTTCTTAAAATGGGTTTCTTGGGACAATTTCTTCTTCATTGACCATAATTAAAGACATTACGCTTGGGCTTAAACAACATTGTCTTATACAACTGATTTTTTTGTCTCAAAAGAAAATAGTAAAATACAACTAATTTTAGACTTGAAATATATAAACCATGATAGTGCAATCAGAAAAGCAAATGGCAAACAAACACTCCTATAAATCAGGATATTTTTTTTGTATAATCTATAGACACCAAATAACTAAAGCATGAGAAGATTGTTTACTTGGTGGTATCAATGAGTCCCATAATGGCAATTAGATAGGAGATGCGTTGGTCATTAGAAGCAACAAGCACCTTCTGTTGCTCATCCTCCTCTACAGAGAACAAGGAGGGCGTAAATTTATAAAAATCTCGGACGCAAGAGGCCCAAATAGTGGTTGACCCCAAAACTCCCCAACTGTTAGCTTCCATGTCGTACACATGAATCACACCTTCAAAAGATTCTAATCCCCTCTTTTTCACCCTCACCACAAGACACTTGCCATCGTACGCAACTATGTTCCAACATTCAAGCGTGTTTTCCTCGATAGATATGTTCTTGATCCGCCTTGTGAGTGCCCATTTGTGATTCCCGACAAGTGTGTAAACGGAGATTGTTTCTATCGTCCCCGAAATTAAGGTCAGACGATTGATTTTAATGCTTTCCGCGAAAAGTAGTTTCGTATCCGGTTCCCGATGAAATATGGAAGAAATCAAACATGCTTGCTCTGTCTCGGGATTAAAAGATATAATGCTCCCATCGTTTCTCAACCAGTGAAGAGTGTTGTCCAAGTAAGCAGGTTTCATTCGCGTTGTGAGATCACTTTTTGAGCTAGTGGTGATTGTCGTTTCCGACAATCTCCAAGAATCTCCATCGCTGATCTCGAATCCGTATACCGTTTCCATCTCGAGTATGCAGACGATCATGAATCTCTTGGTTGTTCGGTTTGGATTTACCGCAAATCCAACGCACATCGCTCTTTCTGTACGAGCAATGTTACCTTCAGGATAACTATTATCATTACCACCAACTATCTTAGGTATAAGCTTTGATCCAGAGTGATCCAGGATTCGAAACCTTTTTGTTAAGGGATTTGCGACAAAGAGGCAACCGATGTACAATAGGAGAAGACCGGAGCATGAACCGAAAAAGTAACATCGCTCACTAATCAGCTCTACTTCATTTCCCGGTGACATATAATCGCATGAAGAGACCAAAGGTTGGCAGTATACATAAACTGCGCCATAGCTACTAACGTTAAACAAACTAGATCTGACCCATGAAGCATATTCAGGTCCAAATCTTGGATCACTTAAATACGATTTGATAGATTTGTTTGTGCATCGCATCATCGCCATAGATTTGGGTTCTAATTTGAAGAGAATCTCGTCGAGAAGATGCAAAGGTAAATCATTCATGATCGAAGATGAATCACAGTGAGAATTTTCCATGCTTTTGTTTTTTTGAATCAAAGTGAAGATGGGTTCTATTTTGCTTGTTTATGCAATTATTTTAGTTGTTATTTCAATGATTTACTGATGAGGTTTTTATATAGATCTAGATAATATATTCTAGCATTACCAAAATTAAAAGTAACAATTTCTAATCAAGGATAATAGCAGTATCTCACCATTATATGAAAAATTAAACTATAATTTTAGTATAATAATATTTAGTAAATTTTCCTTGATTTTGCAAGCTAATTTGAATTTCTGTGTAGCCTTTGATAAAATCATAATAAATTAAATAGTAGAATCTATTTATAGGTTTGTCATATTGAAAAATCTGTTACTTATTAATTGAACAAAAAAAAAGTTACTAATTTCAAAAAAATGGAAAAAAAATCTAATACCTTTTAATGATAACTACTTCGTAATATCTATAATTATTACTTCATTTATTTTTTAGTTTTTAAATAACTAACAATGTACAGTATTTAGGATAAAGTCTAAAGATAGTTTTTAAATAAATAACAATGTATTTATGCCAAAGCTTATACCTAAGATAGTCGGTGGTGACAATGTCAAAAATCTACAAAATTTATAATTGGAGAACACTCCCAAATTCTCGAACATGGGAACATGACACGTCATTGGTTATGGACCTTTGATATCCTTTTAATAACACGTATAAACCATCAATAACTCTACAATTTACCCACCCTCCAGAATCACCATATACATACCCAAAAAAATATTTTAAAAAAGAACAAAATTGGTAAACTGATCGGTTTATAGGCTGAAACCGAAGCCAAAACCGATAGACCAAAATTCCGGTGGGGTAAATTTGGTCGGTTGGGTCCAGTTTGGTTTGATGAGAGTGATCAAGTTTTGCTATATACATATTATGCAAATCACTTAAGGTAGGACTGTAGGTCATGGAAAGATTTGAGGCTTATTCAACT